GGGCTTCGAGGTCGCGCAGACGGCGCTCCGCGGAGCGCGGGCCGCTGTGCCAAGCCGCTGCCCGGGCGGCCGGAAGGAAGGCTCCGACCCGCGCTCCTTACCCTGCCGGCTGTGGAAACTCCGCAAGAGAGAACCGCCCTTCTGAGACCGCGAGCAGAGAAGAGATTCGGGAGTGCTGCTGGCCTGCTCGCGGCTAGCTGCGCGAGTCCCTGCTGCTCCGCGTGGAGACCCGTGCCTGGAGTTGGAGGCCCCTTGAGAGTGGAGGTCTCCTGGCCGCCAGGGCCGAGCCTGCTGCGTGGTGTCTGGTCTGCGCGGCCGAGCGCATTTGTAAGCTTGATCATTGTTTCTCTGAGACATTACCTGTGAGGAAAGCAGGAGAGGCCCGCGATTGTCGGGCTTCAGGTGAGGGTTGCCTGGCGCCGGGGTGGGCCGGGCCCTCTGAAGCCTGCCAGGGAATGCCTGAGTGCAGGCGCGGCTAAGACCGCAGTGTGCCTCCATGTGCCCGGAGGGGAACGCCGGGCCCTGCGGGTGCGAAGACAGGGAGAGGCCAAACTCCAGCCAACTCTCAGTGACGTGACAGTGTGGACCAGTGGGCACAAATCCGGCGTTCATTCTGAGCCTCGTTTTCCTCACGTAGCTGGTCTCGTGCCTTTTGCCAGTATTTTTATAAAAGTAGTCGTGTTTTACAAGTTGCATTGTCTGACATTTTCTTTGCCTGGTTGTAGAGGGAAGGAGAAAGAAGAGAAGCAGGCGATGTTGACCCGGGAGTCCTCAGTGGTGACTGCCTGAGATTGGAAAAAATGCCCTTCTGAAAGACAGCTGGGTTGTGGGTCAAAGTTTCACTTAGATTTTTGCAGTGGATTGGGCTCTGGGGTGAAATTCATAAAATATAGCTTCCTTTGTCAGCGTCCTTAGCTTGTGAAATAGGAAAAGGGAGAAAATGATTGCTGTGGCATGTTTGACTGTGATCAGAGCAGCGGGGTGGAAGTCGGAGTGGGAGCAGGAAGTGCTGTTTGGCAGGAGTCACGCGGCAGTAGCTGGTGGAGGGTTGGAGCAGGACGTGGCTGTGTAAGTGTGTGCACAGGGCTGACAGTACCCGAGGGGAAAGAGGGACTGGACGTCAGGGAGCGCAAGATCACCAGGGCTTTTGTGTGAGGAGCGAACAACTGCCATTTCTGGGTTTCTTGGTAACTGTTTTTCACTTGTAAAATTATAGTAATAAAAACCGACCTACTTTTATTGGGAGGATGAGATGAGATTAATATAGTAAAAGAACAATCTGTATAAATGAGAGTTGCTAGATCAGTGGAGCGAGATGGGACTATTTCAGGAAAGGTCCACAGTGCAGGCCCAAAGGTTCCTAGGTTAGGTTCATCTGAGAATGGGCTTTTTGGCTGACTGTGTAGAGACTTAATAGGGCTGCCAAAGGAAAATATAGAGGCCAACAGATGATTCACAGTGGAGTAAGGTATTAAAAGAGTACGCCAGAGGAGAAAGAACAGCACTAAGTGGATTGTGTATGCATTATTTAAATTTTGCAAATTAAATCACAAGATAGCTGATTGTAAGTTTATTGCTCTAAAATCTCGCATAATTTGACTCTACTGGTCTTTCTAAGTCCTGTGATGAGAATGACGAGTTTTGCCAACAGTATTTCTTTCACATTTGTTCAGCTCATGCTATATTGCAGGCAAAGTGTCATATGTAAAATTACAAATTAAAAAATATAATTTAAAGAGGAGACAGGCACGCAAGCAAACACTTGTAAGAAGGAATTTTGTGCTGAGAGGACAAGGGGCTGTCAGACCTGGGTGGAAGGGGCCCCGTGGAGGACATGAGTGGGGATTAGCCTCACAGATAGGGTCGGGTGTGAGTGTGGCCTCATTTGGGGAAGGAATCTCTGGTGTGAGGCACTGTTGTCCCAGGGCAGAAGCACAAAACAGCATGGTGTCTGTGGGGAGAAGTGGGCTCTACCTGCAGGCTCTACCCGCAGAGGCTCAGCCTGAGTGCTGTCTTGCGGGCGGGAGCCTGGTCTGAGGGCCTGGCCACTGAGCAGCTGGTCTGCGTTTGGCAGGTGATGGAGCAATGGAAGGATTTAGAAAACTGATGAAACATGCTTTGGTCTGGCATCACTGTGGAGGTCACAGGAAAGGGCTGGGAAGTAGGAAGAGGTGAGACCTGCTAGGAGGCGACTCCTGGAGTCCAGGTGAAGGTGGAAAAGAGGGTGTGATGTTTTAGGCAGGGTGACAGGAAGCAGATGTGGCAAGTGAGAGTGTGGGGACTGGCTCTGAGAGAGGAGGATGCTTCTTACCTCCAGCAGCAGGGCAGGAGGGAGGGAGAGGCACTTCCAGAGAGGTGGCTTTAGGTGCGGTTGTGCATCTGCTTGCTGCCGCCAGGGAGCATGGTCGGCTGGTACCAGACCTGAGGGTCACTTGGAGGAGCTGTGAATGTAGTTAGGGAGGACCATCCAGGGAGAGAGGACGGAGTCAGAGAGGACTGGGTTTACCCACATCGAGGGGGTAAAAATCGAGGTGCCCTCAGAGGAGAAGCAGAAGCCATGGCTCATGTAGGAGGAACATGGCCCTTTGGGTTCCCGGGAAGGGACGGGGCACGTACCCTGTGAAGAGGGGGAGCCATGTGTCCCTTGCCCGAAGAAGTCCTCAGAAGGTGTGGACTGAGAAGGTTGGGTCTACCTCCCCATTGTCCCTGTGGGGTAGGCTGGGGTTAGTGGGGAGGGTATGTTCCGTGGCCTCCCTAGCCGTGGTGAGGTGTTGGGACTGTCCACTCCATGCCAGTCAGGGCACTTGGTGTTTTCTAGGTCAGACTTTGAATGCGGTGGCTGAGAAATGTCTTTGGTGAGGAAGGCTCTGAAGGTCATGGGCTGTGGGGGAGGTGCCCAAGACCCGAAGCCACGCTGTTGCTGGCGGTGCTAGGACTCTGTCTCTGTGTGTGGGCAGTTAACGTAATTAATCTTGTCTGTTTTGCCTGCAGAGGTAAATTCTCCATTTCAAGATTTTATGCTGAGAACCGTTTCTCATATTTTAGGCAAATATGAGCAAGTATTCACACCACCAATATTTACGATGTAAAGCTCAGAGCTGACAGATCTGTGAAGTGTCATGTTTTAGCACGAGGCACAGAGTGAAAGTTTCCTATTGCACTGTATTCTTCACAGTGTTCTGCATTCTTACTCTTCATTGTCAGAAAACATCACACTTGGCTACCTTTCCCTTCCCTGTGAAGAAACCGCAGATAGTTCTGGCTTTCTTAATACAGCATGTGTAATATTTTTATATTTTAGTATTCAACACATGTTTATTATGCACTCATGTACCAGGTACTGATGGTAAAATGCTGAAAACACATATGGCCCCTGCCCAAAGAGCTCTGCAGTCCCGTGGGGCAGACTCACCATAAGCCCACACACAATGTGGTTACGTCTGCCGTGAGTGTTGTGGAAAATGACTGTGCAGTGAGCGTGCATAGCCTGCCTGTGTGGAGCAAGGAGCCTGGGAACCCTCCAGCGAAAGTTAGGACCCAAGGGATGAGAAGGCCACTTGCATGAAGGTGGTGGTGGTAATGATAGAAGCTGCACACAGTGGAAGGCTCCTGGCCTAGATCAGTTCCTACCCCTCTTGGCCCTTGCTTGACTGTAGAAGACAATGGGTCTTTTTTCTGAGTTCTAGTCCCACCCTTGTATTTACCCTCTTTGGCATCCAGATTTTGTTTTACAGGTTTTTCATGTACTCAGGGCCACCTGGGTGGTGGACAAGTTGTGTTCCGTAGAGGGCACCCAACGGGAAGCAAGCACTAGAATCCATCCAGAGCTCAGGGGGCCCAGACATCTGCTTGGTGCAGGTCTGCGTTTTTCTTGAGGATGGGTAGTTTTTGCCAGAGAGGGTGCCATTTTGTAAGTAACATGAGGGCATCGTATGCTTTTCCAGAGACTTTGTACACAGGTACCATTTCTGTTCTTAAGAACGTGGTATGTTCATTTAGGAGGGAAATGATGTCATCCATTCAGCAAACAGTGATTGAAAATGCTTTTTAAAAAGGCTTTAAAAATAAAAAGACGGGGCTGGGGATTTAGCTCAGCGGCAAAGTGCCTGCCTGGCAAGCGCAAGGTCGTGAGTTTGGTTCCTGGTACCGGAGAAAAACCAAAAAAAAAAAAAAAAAAAAAAAAAAAAAAAAGACATAGACCCTCTTTTCTGGAAACCCTAATCATTGGCTCAAAAATACAGTCAGTAGTTGGCTTCTCCTTCTTCACTTATGCAAAGGAATTGTTCTTTATGGTGCATTTAGTCGTAATTGGTGTTTTCCATCAGTTATACCAGATTTAAGAGTCTGAAATAAAACCCCAGTAATTAGAATATATTGAACTTTATTTTCAGTTTACAACTCTGGAGTTGAAGATCGTTTTTATTACCCTCATTGGAAGCTTTGCTGTTTTAGGAGCTTTTCTCTAAACCACTGGTTCTCAAAGTGTGATTTAGGACCAGCAGCATGAGGATTACCAGGTACCTGTGAGAAATACAAGTGCTCAGCCCCTACACACACCCCAAACCAGAAACCCAGGGCTGGGGCCCAGCAGTCTGCATTGTGGCCTGTCCTTTGGGGGATTAGGGTACACTCTCAGTGTGAGACTACCATCCAAAGAGATGTAGTTTAAGTGGCCTGAAACCCAGGGTCTGGTTTCATTGCGTCACTCTAGCTTTCTGCTTAGAAACCAATCAAGCATCCCATCCAGTGGGCCATGAGTTCCTCCTGTTCCCTTGAAGTACTGTCCCTCCAGTTCTTTAGTTACTTTCTCTACACCAGGACGTGTGCAAGATGCTGGGATCAAACAGGATGCTGGGGATGCCACAGCCCTGGGCCAGGACAGTGATGGCAAACCTTGTGGTGCTCTCAGTGACATGAGCAGCCCACTGTGGCTTGCATGATAGGTTTGCCACCATTCACTAGGAGCTCACAGCCTGACGGAAGCAGCACGTGTAGAGACTGGTGAGGATGCTCCCGAGACAGGCAGCAGAATGGAGAAAGCTGGCAAGCATAAGGGAGGCTCTGTTGTTGCTCGTTGCTGAGGGTGGGTTACGTTTCATGCCAGCTATAGAGTGTCATCTTGATGTAGCATAAGGAGTGTGAAGATAACTGAGACTGAGCCCTCTCCACTGGGTCTTCAACCTTGAGCACACCAACATCTTTGTACTCAAGCTGTCTGATAGTGGCAGGGGTAAATTCTGCTGTATCTGTGTCAGAGTTCCTGTGAAGGTCAGGTTCAGTGCTTTGTGAATCCTAATGCGTGGGCCATCTTAGTTACTCTCACAGGA